ATGAGCACTAGTAGTAATGCAGTTATTTATAAGAGAAAGTTCAATATCCAGAAATGATAGTTTTTCACTAGAGATTGTGTCTGTAAATTTGGTAAAGATGTAGTTTTCATGGATAGTGAGAAAAATATTCTGAAATACAGTCAGGGCAAGTGTTTTGTCCTTAATGCAAAGATGTTATGATTGAAGGCATAATTTTGTCTAAATATCTCAATTTCTCTTTGGGGCAGCTGCAGGCAGAGACACGTATACGGGCATATTACATCCATGGTGTTCCTTAGTTGTTCTAGATATCCTGTGTAAGGCTGCTGAATAATTGCCTCCTAGATGTGAGTGCAGAAGATACAATGGTGCTTTCAGTTTTTTACCAAACATCGGTGATGATTAAATGTAGCCTGTAGGTTTATGTACTACTGTTTGATAATTCATAAGTAGCAGTGGAATATTTTGATGATCATCTACTCAATTGACTTAAAAGTGTACAGTTGTATATTTCCACCATGCCATCAGAAATTTATGCATTGCTGTTACCCTGGTCTTTTTAATTCTAAGGATCTGACATTTCTGGAAAGAAGACTGGTTAAGTATTGTATACATGGGGTTTTGAGTGAAAAAAATCTTTCACACATATATACGATTCAGTCTTCTTGTTCTTCATCTGAAAGAAGTTTGACAGGCACCATAGTTCTTAAACTAATTCATTAATGAGATTTCTAGCTAGAGTCTCTGGTGTCCAGCCTTGGTTTATACTGTTTTGTACTTTAAGTTGTTTGTTTTTACTGTCTCATGCTTCATTATTTTAACAATTTCTACATTATTCATGAATATACAACCTTTGATACATGGTGGTAAATTTGTAATCCTGGAGATTTTAAGAGCCATCTTGCTATCAGACCTTCTGAAATGTGACAATTCATCAGCCATCTCAACTTCAATGGTGCATGAAGTGTCCAGAATGTAAACTTTTGTCCATATTAGTAATGATAGAAATGACTTGTGGATTAAACAACACATTGTAGATCTTTCAGAGAAGTGTGTTTTATCTGCATTATTCATTGCATTGCTGTAATTGACAATCATATCTTCATTTCCATGTTCTACTTGTGGTAACACTGCTGTCACTGCATCTAAAATGAGGAAATATTCAAGAGCTCGATATGTTAAAAAAGAAATGGTTAGTTCTTTATCGAACTTTTGATCACAATCAGCAATCCAATAAAACTTACATTGTTTTTCAAGTAGTTTTTTTCAGAGAACAATTTTATAAAATTACAATTGAATGCAGTCTCAGAAGTCCTCTTGCCTCAAAAAAGATCCTTTGTTTTAGCCAAGTCTGAACAAATTCAATCTTAAATGCGTCTGTAGACACTTCTTCTCTGATGTCTATGTGTCCAGGAAACTCGCCTATTGGTAAAATAATTCACACTTCTTGAAATTTAGTTTAAGGTTGTTTTTCCTCAACCAATCCAAATTTTTCTTAAACTATTATAAGCATTATCAAAGGTCTTATTTATGATTGTCATTCAAGTAGATGAGTATGATGTTCAAGAGTAGTTGGGAGAGAATATACTCTATTAATCATTGAAATGTAGAAGATGCATTACATAATCCAGATTGTAATACAGCAAATTACCACAATTCATTTCTTGCAGTGAAGGCTGTCTTCTTTTTTACTTATTTTGTCAAATTGTACTTGCCAATATCCTTTTCAGATCCAATGTTGAAAATCATTTTGACCCAGATAAAGCATCCAAAGTAGAGTCAATCCTTGAATTGGGTAGGCATTCTTCTTTGTGACTACATTCACTTTCTGGTAGTTCACACAGAAACTTGTGGTGCCCATGAATTATTACTTTTGTTGTTTCTCCTTGCTCTTTCGTGGCTTCTACTCTTTGAAAGGCTCATGTTTTGCAAGGAGAAATCATCTGGCTAATTGATGTATTGGGACTGCATCTCCAGTTTAAATCTTATGAGATATCTTATTTGTATATCCTAAATCACCAGGTCCACTGGAGAAGATACCTTGATATTTCATAAGCAAATCTGTGGCATTTGATCAACTGTAAGACCTTCATAGTTCTACTTGTACCGCTATTGTAAGTAAAGTGGAAAAGCTGTCCTTACGTGAGGATTAAACATTAGACTTCCTACATCTTGCCTCAAAGGTAACTATTATTTATATTTTCTGATGTATACTTTCAGAGCCAGCAATGTCACATCTAGACTTTACTCGAATTTCATGGTTTGTTGTGTTCATGACCCTAATGTTAACATTGTTATTCTTCAGATCCCTCATTAATTCCTCAGGATTCGCTGGGATGATTGGTTCCATTATGTCCCAGTTGCTTGATGTAAATTTATTCCTAAAATATCTTGGTATGATAATTTAATTTCTTGGTGGTACAGTTACTGCCCTTGTTGTTGTTGTCACTGAAAGTTCAACTTGGGAAGTTGTCTGCCTAGTGTCTGATTGAAATGTTCTGCCATTCCATCTGATTGGGGGTGGGATATTGTTCTTGTTTTCTTATGTCCAGTTACAGCATTCTTTAGATACTGCTGACTCAAAGTTCCTCCCCTGGTCAGAGTGAGGTTCCATGGATAAGCTAGATTTTGTGATGAACTGATCATCCAACACTTTTGCTACTTTTGCTCCCTCTTGATTTGGGATTGAATAAGATTCTGGCCATTTTGTAAGGTAATCCTTAAATACCAGTATATACATGTCTCCAGTATCAGTTTTTGGTAATGGTCCCATGATGTCAGTTGCTGTTATTTCCATTTATGCTTCAACCTGGAACAGTTTGAGTGTTGCTCTCCTGGTTTAGATGGCAGCACATATTTTACATTCTTGAAACCATTCATCAACATCTCATGCCACTCCTGTGAAACCCTTCCCGAATTGACCAAGATGTTCACCTGAGGTGACTCTTGCAAAATGGCTATTCGTGTTGCCTTGATAATGACTTATTACAATACTCCTATCCCTTGTGTGTTTTTTGTTTGTTTGTTTGTTTTTGTTTCATAGTCTTTACAGTAAACCAGACTGTAGATGCAACATATTCCACTGAGCCCATTATGATTTGGTCTTAATGCTTTTGAAAGATATGTTCTTCCATGCTGATCTTTCTGGTGACTGTTTCATGTATGTGATGATGGGTCTCATATCTGGATCATTTTTTTTTCTTGGAGCATCTTGGTATCTGGATCACTATTCTTTGAAGCAGAAGATTGTCGACATTTCTGAAGTTACTGTTCTCACAATGATTGCACTCTTCTGACTGAGACTGCCTACATTACCATGAACCTGCCTACACGGTATTCAATCTTGTAATGGGACTGGTCCAGCTTTCCAATCCTTCTGGTTAATTGTCTCTCAGTATGACTGTTCATACAAATAATGGTAAAAATTGTGTAAAGCACTCATCACAGCCAACAGTTCTTTTCTGGCAACACTGTAGTTACATACATGCTTGCTCAGCATTATGCTGTCACACTCTTTTGTTCCTATTGTTTTTGTGGAAACACAGCTCCTGTTATTGGCATCTGTATCCAGTATCAAAGGTTGGTCTGAAACTGAGAATGCTAAGACAGATGTTGAAGTAAGAGTCTTTTTAGACTGTTGAAAAGCTTCTTCACAAGCTTTATCCCAAGTGAAGGATTGCCCATCCTTTGTTAGATTGTGAGGTGGTTTGGCTATGCTTGCTGTTTTCGTATTACAATTTCAGATGGTCTGAAATTGAGTTAACTGATAATTTAAATTTAGTTATTAAATTATACTTTGGATTTAGCAGTTAAGTAAAAGCTGATATATAGTCAGTTTATGATATTTGCCAACAAGATTGATACACAGAATTTTCTTTTATACAAATACGTTTTAATATATACACAACAACCAAATTTACAATATAAACAATGATTTATAAAAAAAAAAGTTTCACAAATTGACAAGCAATATGAAGTCTTTTTTCTAGCCTGGAACTTCCTCAATATCTTATCGAGAATTCACGATGAGCGAGTTAATTTCGAGTTGACATAGGTACAATTCACGTAACAGGAAGCTAACTAGCCCTGTAATCTTCACTGTTCATACGCCTATTAGAGATTGAGTTTCCACCGATGATGTTAGGTAATGTTTTCGTAAAAATACTTATGATCGATGAGAATTCACTGAAGTTAAATGAGTTGTAATGTTCGAACTTTGTAAATGCTCCTGGTCAAATATCTGAAGTTTTCCGATTGATAAACGTTATAACAATCACAGTTATAGTTTCCAAAGTTTATAGCACATTGACTATAGCGAACTAATAATAGATACTCTCTTTTATGGCGCGGCGCACTGGTTATATTTATAGGCGTGTGGAAGCGTTCTAGAAATTTCAGTTTTACGTTCCATACTGTATATATATATATCTGTGTCAATGTGAACTATTTGTACCTCATGATGACAAAACTTTGTCGCTACGTTGTACATTTGCTGTTATGTTAAACTTATATTAAAGTTTTTCTTCATTACCCATTCAAGCCGTCTCCAACCATTATTGGTCTCAAAGTGGGTTCCTCGTCATCGAATTTGAATGTGTAATAATATGCCAACGAGACCTCTCGATCATCGCCAGGGCTCATGAGGCCGGTTGGAACCATTTTACTGTTATGGTGTGAACCAAATTACTTAAGTGAATTTTGATTATTATATATTTTTAATTAAATACTTACAAGTCACAACTAAGGGAAGGATTGATAACACAAAACTATTTATTTATTTTTTAACATCACAGAAGAGGCAAAAGATCAGAACAAACTGTAAAACCTTGTTAGATATTTTAGAGGACGCTACATATCTGATATATTATTTACCTCTGGAACATTGTTAAAATTGAATTTAAGTTAAATAATTTGTTCTCGCTAGATTTCTATGAATTATTATTTAATCAATCAACAGTTATATATTTTATACAATAAATAAAGGCTACATCTGGTGACCGTAGTTGGATATTACGGTAGGTTCAGAAAATTTAACTTACGTATCGAAATTAACCGAATGCAAGTCTTACACTTTTCTTAGTAGGCTTCTGGCAGTACATCGTTCATGGTATATTAATTACGCGTGTTTGTTTACATTAGTGAACACCAACGTTGCTGCTAAAGATCGTCATCGCCCACTGTTGAAACATATATAAAGTAAATTTATTTTTTTAATTTCATGTATTCTATCAAGGCATCCGTTGAGTGTTGAAATAGTATAACTGTAGTGTAAGGTTAAACGTAAATATTACATAATTTATAAGTGTCAGATAAAATACAATGGGTGAAACAAATAGCTAGTTCAAAAACAGTTAAAATGGGATAGAAAAAATATATCGTTTAAAAACAACGTTTCGCCACTATTAACAGTGATGCCACGTTAATAATAACAGTGGCAAAACGTTGTTTTAAAATGGTATATTCTTTGTATTTCATTTTTAGCTGTTTGAGAATTTTAAATTTTGTAAAGTGTGGGATACCTCCAACATTTATATTTAAATAGCTATTTAGATTGCAGAACAGGCTGAAACTTTACAAGAGTTTAAGAAAAAGATTAATAATTATTTGTGACTGGATTTAGTGATTAGTTTGTTGTTAGAGGTTGCGATTTTAAAGATATTTTTCCTTCAGTAGTTGGAATAGATTGATTATGTCAGTTTTTGTCACTGGGTAGATTGTTAACTCAAATAACTGTGACTTTCAATGAATTGAACAAACTATGAAATGTGACACAGTCAATATTTTATTCTGTGTGTAGCGTTTTGTCAAGAGAACTTTTTAATGTGTGATTTTAGTTCATACCTTATTTTGATTATTATTTTTTAACTACAAAAGCCAACCACCAGTTCTTGATTCATAATTTAATGTTTTTAGCTTTTTCTATACTACTTTTGGTAAGAATTTTCCTCCTCTCAGATACTTGTGATGTTTTGTACTTCTATCATAGGTTTGTATAAACTTTTCGTTTTAAATTTTCCAACTTGATTAATGAAATACTTATTTCTTGAAACAAATTTTGTAGTTGTTTTTTTTTGGTAACATATGATTGCTTCAATTAGAAGTCTTACAGTTAATTATATTTATGTGTGCACATCTATGTTAATTACTGATAAAATGCTAAATAATTTTGAAGCAAAGTTCTTTGTCTTGTACATTCTAAATAAAATCTTTTCCTGAACTATTTGACCATCAAAGATTAAACTGTACTTAAATCTTAATTTAGCATTTCATTTTTAACATTAAGGATTTTACATCTGAGCTAAAGAAAATTTCACTACATTCTTTTATAATTTTCATTCATAAAATAAAATGCATGATTCAATTGATACAATCAATTACCTATGAGCAACTATTATGATTAAATCAATTAATCAAAATTTGTGTTTCTGATCATTACACCTTTGATTCTTCCAGAACAATTATTCGAAGTTACGATTAAACTGATTGTCCCTAATCAAAATTAGTTTTCTGTTATCCAAAATCAGTATTTTTGATTATTCCAACATTCCAAGTAATAGAAATATTGCAATTATGTTTGTTTATTGTTAAGCATAAAGCTACATATAAGGGCCATCTGTACTCTGGCCAATTTTAGCTTTACAAGTTTTTTTTTACATAAAGTTTGTCCAGCCTTTTGATTTAAGGGTCTCAGATTCAATCCCCTTTGCCACTGAACTTACTTGCCCTGTGTTTGTTCTGGCAAAGCTATCTGCCACTAGTGCTAATTTTAAACTGCTGATCAGAGGGAAGGCAATTGGCTGGTAGCATCTGCCACCAACTTTTTTCTTTCTTGTGTATACCATGGCATGGGGACCATTATACTAATTAATTAATGAAATGTAACTTATTAGCAAATACCACTAATTTCATAGCTCTATCTCTATTAGAATTAATATCACTCGATTCACTGAAACTCTTCAGACAGTGCTGTAAATCAAAGTTTTATATTTTCTAATTCTTAGTTTTTTGTGTTTTATTTTACAGATCTTAGGATATTATAAAGAAAATGTTGTGCATCCTTTCAAGATTTTCTAATCCATTACTGTCTGTAATAACAAGAAATACAAAAGTTTGTGAGGAAGTAAGAAAACTTTCAACCGTTCATTCTACTGCCAAAGTAAAACTTACAGGTGCAAAGCTTACCAACAGGTGTGTTATATGTTTGTCTGGAACAGAAACTCCACAGTTGCTACAAGGTTTGCTGACAAACAATGTCGACCATCTTGAAGAAAATGCACAAAATCGTGTAAACCTGCCTTGTATTTATACAATGTCTCTTAATGTCCAGGGTCGTGTTTTATATGACTTGTTCTTGTATAAACTTAAAAACTCGGAGTTTCTATTAGATTGTGATGATTCTGTTCATCTTAATTTAATACAACACCTTAAAATGTACAGATTAAGAAAGAAAGTTAGCATAAGTTCTAAAAACCAATGGTCTGTGTGGACAGTGTTTAATGCAGATGAAGATTCAGCATCATCTGCCAATAAAGATGGCAAAGTTTTGGATGAACATGGATTACCACTAGGTGGTTCAGAGCCTGTTACATCGGCTCCGAACATGCATACAACAGATGATCTTGTTATAGGTGTGAAAGATCCTCGCTTGGCTGACCTAGGTCATCGCTTAGTCTTAAATGCAGGTTGTTCTGCTACAGAAGTATTTCCTGATGCCAGACTGTCCGAAAACACTGAATATACAAAGCTTCGATACAAACTGGGTGTAGGAGAAGGAGTGAAGGATCATCCTCCAGGAGCTTGTTTTCCTCTTGAATGTAATCTGGAATATCTGCACGGAATAAGCTTTCATAAGGGTTGTTATGTTGGTCAGGAATTAACAGCTAGAACATATTATACTGGAGTGGTGAGAAAAAGATTAATGCCGGTTAAAATTGATGCAGATGCTGACTTAAGTAAGGCACCTGTTGATTGCATTGTCGAAAATGAACAAGGCAAAAACGTTGGCAAGTTCAGAAACAGTGAAGAACGATACGGACTTGCCCTACTTAGGGTAGAGGAGAGTCTTAATTCAAAAGAATTGAGAGTTAGGGGCAGTGATATCAAGTTGAGTGTAAATAAACCTTATTGGTGGCCACAGACACTCTCAAAACGGGAATAAAGAAGGTTTTAGCAGTATAATTAAATGAATGTATTTAGAAAAACTTGTGCAATAAATTACTACATACATTATAGCTTGATATTATTGCATTACATGTTACAGTATTCTTAACTGTCAAACTATAAGTCATGTCCTTATTTGTCACTTCCAGGAATTTATAGTTAACGTAAGACTCTTCTTAATGTGAGTGTGTGTGTGTTCATATTGGTTACTCAAATTAACCACCTAGAGAAAATTTATTCAAGACCTTATAGTTTTTAACTTCTGATACCTTTAGTTATTCAATGCTCCAAAGACAATCTTTAAAAGTTTTTATTAAGTCTTTCTTTTTTATATACCTTAATTATTATTATTACAGTTACCTGACTCTGCACTCATTCCAGCTGATTGATATCCTTGCCAAAGCGAGGGAACCAAAAAAAGTCCAGTCACATAAGATTTAAATAGGTGCTATGGAGTGTGGTTACCACCACTGCTCAAATGCCCATTCTATATATAATGGAGTAGTCGTATGACTGTGTCAAGAACAAGGAATTTAGTGAGCTCACATGTGATTTTACTTATGAACATCTAGAGGCTGGCCAAACTCAAAATCAACTGTCCAGACAGCTTCAAATCCTCCCCCCCCCCCTCCACAGTCATTCAATTGAATGTGCTGCTCAAAGCCACCCATACAAGTTCCACAGCACAGAAAACAGAAAGTTAGTTGAGACCAGCCATTTTATGTGATAGAACAGTCACAGTAACCTGATACATGCAGGTGTTGTCTGGAGAGCTCCTTCCTGCTTTTCAGTCAAGACAGTTTCCAATGAAGAGCACTATGTTTGTGGTTGATGATACACAGAACATACTGTCACCCATTGAAAAAAACAACCTGAACATTAACGTGGCCAAGTCAACTGGTACTCAGTTACAAAGGAAGAAGAGAGGGCCTGCTCCCCCATTTTCAGTCTGTCCCAGGAAAAATGCATCAAAATTAAGAAAATAACCCAGGAAAAGCATGATAATGCATACATTTTAATCCAGAATCCAAGAGCCTCCAAGGCTTGCCCCACTTTGCTCAGTCACATAATTTGCCTCTTACACTTCTGGTATTTGATGGATATCCAACTTTGAAAACCTTCAGTCCAATCCAGAAGCGTTCCAGCCTTCAAGCATGTTCTCACTGAAGTATTTGACAACATACCCAAGGAGAAGGTTCTCGATTAGACTAGTGTTTTAAAAAAAAAGATACTGACCCAAACTATTGATGCTTCAGACACTTCTCCATTAGTAGTATTGTTAATGAGTCATCACTCCAGTTACAACAGCTCTATAAAATTAAAATAACTTGTTAGTTAAATGCATCATATTATCTGTTTACACTACAGTAAAGAACACAATTATGAGGCTTGAAGTTGTCAAAAATCACACTGAAGAGGTAAGCCTTTCCTAAGTCCCCATACTCTACACTTTTCAACATGTAACTGATTTGCTCCGTAATGGTCCAGTCACAAAGTGTTCTGTTATTTTTGGATAAAAGCTTTACATTATAAACCCTTCCCAGTAATTTTATCAGCAGCATATTTAAAAACAATTTGATAAGCTATTCAAAAAGACATGAACAATAAAACTTGTAAAACAGTAAAAAATTAGCCTGCCTATTTGTTGTCATTTTGACTTGATTTGTACTAAATATATTATGCAATTTTAAATCCCTTTCATATTTCAATATTGTTTTTCATATAAAATTTCAAAGGAAATCTATCAATGCACTGTTAGCAAACATCTATATAAACATTTTTATACAATTGTGCTAAATACTTGTAGTAACAGTATTATGATGGGAGGGATCACTGTGCTACATCATTGTAAACAAACACAAATTACCTCTGTGTTGTTTACCTTTTACTTATTCATCACAAAGGCCAAACCTTAAAGGAATATCACCCAAGCCAGTGTAATGTACATAATGTTTGCTTGAGTAGAAAGCAATCTTAACATCTTTGTTTTAGATAATTCTCTACTGCAAAAAAAAATAAATTAAGTATTAAGGTGTTCAAAATTATTAAAGGAATTGATGGTATTGGTGCATTATCTCTTTTCAAGTTGAATACAGAAAAAGAGGACACAAATATAAATTTTAGCAGGGAACGAGTCGTCTTCAGTTTAGCCAGTTTTACTTTTCTAACATAGTAGATAATATTTAAAGGAACAGGACTGGATTTTTTTTAAGTGGACGGGACAGCCTCAATGAAAAAAAAAAAAACCCTCATTCACCATTAAACATTACATAACTAGGTTGGGTGTGGGTTAATGGTTAGCGTACCTGGCTACAAATTCACAGGTTCATTCTTACTCTATTGACTTGAGTATGTCAGTCAGTTGACCCATTAAGGAAGGAAACTACCTCAACTATGAATTCCCACGATAATCTCAATGTCTCCCTATCCTTGGTTTTGAGGGTGAGTTGAAGAGAAAAAAAATACACATTTTAAGAAAACTTTTGTAAGGCAAGACATGCTAGTTAACTACACATCATCTTCCAGAACAATATCACCAATTTAGTGGATATAATGCAATGCTGTTGTCATATGAAGTTCAACTCACATTGTCATTACATGGATGAGTTTTTAGAAATCTGATTATCGCAATGTAATTGTTTGTCACATCTAAAATATAAAGATCAATTTTTGAGATGATATTTTTCTCAGGTGAGAGAAATTAGGATTTTGCTTTACACTACTTGTAGCTAATATAAGAACATGTGATAAACATCTTCCCAATAAATATTCATGCAACTAAAACATTTAAAAGTAAAAAGTGTGTGTGTGCATCATGTTCTGTTTGTATATTAATACTCTGTATTCCAAATAAAAAGACAGATCTGATTTCACATGATACTTTAATACCATAAAAAGATATCAAGTGTCCAAAAATAGAAAACAACACAGATTTAGAAGTTACCACTAATGTTAAGACATATACTTTTTTCCCAGGTACCATTTACAATTCACCAAGGTGTTTAATAAAATATCTATTTTAAGTCACAACAAATACTGTAAGAAATTAAAAACAGGAACATTTTTTCCTGTATACACGTAGCAAAGATAATTCACCGGATAAACTCACGCATTGGAAAAACAAATTACTTAAACTACACAAAAAAACAACACCGATAAACCTAAATCAGATAACAAATTAACATTTCTCAAAACAAAGATGACAATAGGTATCACGCTACAAAGTTTTGTCTTTTTTTTTTTTCTGGTTAAAGTACCACTCCTGGATACCTAAAGGTCAAAGAAAGCTCTCCATATATGACTGTCTTCAATATAAGGTAAAATGTCATATAAAAAAAATAGTTTTATAATACTTTCAAATGTTTTTAGCTGGATATTCTGTACAAAAAAAACTATAAAATTAAAAAAGGTCTAAATAAGTAGCTGCTCAGAATTTTATTAGAGTTTACAGCAAGATTCCATAAAAACCCAAAAGATAAAGAGTATGAATATTATCAATGTACAAATTATTGTTAGGGCAGCACTAAATGACAAGAATTATACAAAATAAAAAACACTACAATGTGAAAAGGTACAGGGAAAAACACAAAGATATATATAAGTGGAAGTACCACTGCAAACACACCTGTATTTTACAATATACACAATCAAGATTTAAAACTTATGTTTGTCAAACTTGAACCAAAACCAATTCTGTAAAACTATCTTAACATTTTTTTAAGTACCAAAAATTGTGCTATATACTTGTGTAATATACTTTTATCATAAACCAGGGTTACTTTGAATGCCACACCAATTTCAAACACATTTTTGGAAAATGCTTTACTTGCTTATAGTTTTGAAGAACAGTTAATTTATATCTTCTTTAGACTGGTGGTAATTTTGTTTCATTTAATGATTAATTAATCCTGGAGTAACATTCGAAACAGCAGGTGTCACTTAACGATTGTTTCAAATTCTTCAACAATTTCAATCCAATAACCATACACATAGAAACTTGTTAAATCTAGAGTATTTATCTATGTATCTACCATATGGTTTCACATCAAACAGAAGGTTATCCTACACAAGGGATGCAAAGAATAATTATGAAGAGGAGATAAAGCATGAAGAAGAAAATGTGTGAACAAAGCTGAGACAATACCATTAACTGGATACTATTATGTGGTAAAATCTGGGATGAAAAACCCTAAAGATTCAAATGCCAATCACTATCAAATAATCTTCATGTCATCTTCTAGAACAGTTGCTTTCAAATTTCTTTGGCTCAACATACCTGATACGGGAAGTGAAGGGTTAAAGCAAATAATTAATGTCTTGAGTGTTACGAAGGAAGACCAGAGAGGAGGAGGAGGAGTTGCATTTTTAGAAACTTAATTGCGGCTATACGTGAAGAGATTCCAGTTACTGAGGGGGGTATTCAGAATCTATTCCTGACACTAAATGCCCAATTTCTGTAGTAGTTTTACTAGTATACAGTATAGTTTATGTATTTTCAACAAGCATTATAATGATGCAAAAGATGGTTATAAAACACTGTTTTCTGATTGCAGACATAAACATACATGTTCTAAAGAGCATTCATCCATTCAAAGTAACCCCAATTTTAAATTCATTTGAACATAATTAGAAGCATCCACATGTTCAAAGCAGACTCTAATCCAGGGTAACTCTGAGTACCCAATAAATAACAAAATATATACACAACACTATACATCTGCAAAATTTTGATGAATGCTAAGAAACCCAGGTGGGGCCTTAATACCAATAATAAAAGATATGTTCAAGCTTCAATCAAGGACTTTAAAAGTTTACAGACAAAATGTATTCAGCCAGTAATCCACAGCCACATCAACATTTCACATATCTGTTTCCACTTCATCTTCCAGAAATCCTTGTTTATTAACCTAATTTTAAGATGCAATGTTGTTTATATTCTAATACATATACTAACTTATAGTTCTCTGACTTGTACAGGCCAACATACGTATCCTCATCTTGAAGCTTTAAATTCCATCTTGCTATATCCAATCTTCAAAACTGACTTAACAGTTGGAAAGGGGGCAGATCT